TGTGGAACGCGCTAGCAGGATGTCGCCTCCAACCGTCCGCCTCAAAAGGCCTCGTTCTCGCCCCTTTCCTGTACGCGTGGGTCTCTAGAGGACGAATGCGCACCGGACCTTCGAGGACATCAAAGTCGGCTGCGCCCTACGGCCATCCCGCCGGCTCTCGAGTGTCGCAGCGCGACGCGCTTCACCCCTCGACTCCGCGCTGCGAGTCAATCTGGAGACGACGCTCGGCCACCGCCAACTCCACCCTGACGCGTCGCACATGCGCCGAGTGTCCCCCCCGAGGGTGTCCTTGTATAGTATGCTTGGTTGCGAGTTAAAAAAAGCCCGTTCCGCACCCGCAGCCAGCACCAGTACACATGCCGTTCTGGTGCCCCTCGGCTGGCCAGAGGACGACTCACAATGCAAAATCGGAAAGACATCACGAGGGGCCGTATAAACGGTGCCGCAGCGGCCCGGGACACTAACAGTGAGTTGCTGCCACTCGCCCGGCCTCCTCCCCCTCGGGGTCGCCCGGAAAGTGGGCTTGCGCACCGGCGCCCCCCCCAGCACGCCGACCCGAGGTGTACCCTCCGGCCACCTGGGAGCGGAGTCCGATTTTGGCCCATTGGCTTCATCATGATGGATACGGAGGTGGCAAGCCCTTGGTTGTGCACCTGCGGCGCGAAGAGGAGGTGATCTCAGCGGACGACGGCCATGCCGAGAGCGGGCGCAGCGCGGAAGAGGGTGCGCAGCGCGTCGCGGCCGCGCGCTTGGGAGCCGGGGGGGAATGGCCGGAGGGGGTGCGACGCCTGCATGTCCTCGAAGCTCCCACCCGCATACGCAAGCCGAGCCGCGAACGGCGGGGAGGGAGTTTTGGAGGGTCAGCCAAGGACGCGCATGGCGAGTGACAAATAGAGGCGACTTCGCTAAACATGCCACACCCCTCCCCACCTTTTACACAGAGCACACCGCCAGCGGACAGGTGCCAGACTGTGACAGCCGCGCACGACCACGAGAGACCGGGCCGCGGGCGCGAGAGTGACGTATATGCACTTGGAGCACTTCTGGAGTGCAGTCATTCACCTCTCACATCCAGAGAGGGACGGCGGACGGGGCGGGCGGGTCCGCGGGTACGAGCGAACTAGGGTTGGGAGCTAAGTAACTTACCGCTATTAGGCTAAGAAGCGCATGTTCGATCCGATGTTGTTTTTATTTTCGCTCGCAACGTCGAACTAGAAAAGCCGTATTTTTGTTACGGTTGGGTGCATATGCAAGAACATGCGATTCCGGGGGCTGTGTGGGCACCTGTGCGTGCGGTGTGCATGCGGTGTGCAGCTACGTCGTACGTGTACGTGTCCAGAGCAACATGCCAACTCGATGTTGCGTGCACGACACATGCATGCAGCATGTGCATGCAACCGTGCAGATGCCAATACAGCGAGAGCTCTCAGCTGTTTCCGCCCGGCCTGCGCGCTGCAGGTGCAGCCACCGCCGTGTTGCTGCCGCGAGCAAAGACCGGAGCGAGAAGCTTCTCCCAGTGGTACTCGATGATGAAGTCACCCAGGTAGGCCATCAGGTTGACCTGTGCCTTCGTGTACGCCGCGAGGCGCGGGGGGCACGCGAACAGGTTTTGCGCGATCGGTGCGAGGTAGGGGAAATCCCTCATGTCTCTGCGCGACCAGATGGCCTCGTTCTCGCCTCCCGCGCTCCCCACGCACGCTGCCCACGAGCCAGGCACGTACGAATCGCTGGGCTCCCACTTCGGCAGCTTGTCGGCGGACTCCTTGTACGAGCCCGTCTCACCGGGCTTCGTGAAATAGACGACCGTGAGAGTGCAGAGCCGCTGCTGGCCCTTGTCGTCGTTGCGGGTCGTGCCGTGGAAAGGGTTGGGCTGCACCTCGCAATCTTCGAGAGTCGCCACGAGCGGCGCGCCCTTATGGTAGAGCTCGGTGAAGTCGCGCACGATGCCATACAGCTTCTCGGCCTGCAGAACGTGGTTCATCGCGAGCACCCAAGCACCCGCCTGGTTCTGCTGGTCATCAGGGACGTGCATGAGCCCGAACAGCGAGACGAGGGACGAGTCGAGGGGCGCCTTGCCCTGAGGGTGGTAAAGGCCCTCTAGGTACGGCCCGAGATGCTCCTGGATCTGCTGCACGACCGCGAGCTCTGCCGCGGCCACCGAAGCGAGGCTGCGCCCGCGCGCCTGCAACCGCGCCGCCCTGCCCACCTCCATCGCCTTGCCGGCCGCGGCGAGCGCCGGGGGCGGAGGGGGGTAGAAGGACTTGGATGCGGACACCATCGCGACGATCGAGCGAACGCCTTGCGCCACGAGAGAAGCAATGCCGGTGTTGTCGATGATGGCGCCTATGACAAAAGCCGGCGGGTTCAACGCTGTCAGAGCTCAACTCATACCTATCCAAACAACATCGCACTCGCCGTCGCCAAAGTTGCAGGACGCCTGGTTGAGCACGCCCTCCTTGAGCGCGCTGTCGTTGGGCGCCGTCTGGATGTTGAGCCGGCCACTGAGTGTTCCGAGGAGAGGGTTGCAGCAGCGAACAAGGTTGAGCTCTGCCTCGAGCACGTCGCTCGAGAAGCCGACGAGCGTATCGAGCGTGAAGCGGTCGGTCGTCACGTTGCCGCCCGGCGTGCACCACTCGCGGCTGGGCTGCGCGAACTTGTACGAGGGGATGTCAAGCGCCTCAGTGTCGTTGAACCGGAGCGGCGGCGGCTTGCTGCAGCCTCCGCGGAACTGCCAATGGTCGAACGCCATCTCGGACGGGCCGTCGGGCTCAGACTGGTACTTGGTGTAGACTGTGGCGGCGGTGGCGACCCATGGCACTAGGCAGACTCCGTTGAACTCCTTGCGCGCCTTCTGCACCGCCTCCGTCGTGCCGCCCTCCTCGACCGAGCGCTTCTGCATCTCCTTGAGCGGGCCGAGGAAATTGCTCTGGTTGGGGATCGACGGGCCAATCATCGTGAAGGCGCCCATCGGGAGCGGGAGCGGGCCATCCTTCCCGACGCGAGGTGCGATAAAATCCGCCGCCGTCACATCCGGATCCGCCTTCACAAAGGCATCGATCGTCTCTTGATTGGGCGCCATGAACTTGCCCTGCTTGATGCCGTACGGGGCGAGGTACGTCGAATGCACGGAGTCGATCCATAGCTGGTGCGCGTTGACTGTGTTGAGGCCGGTCAGTTGCGAGACAAGGCCGCCCGCTAGGTACGCCGGCCAGAGGACGAGCGCGCGGCATCCAAAGGGGCGAACGGCCGAGTAGCCGAGGGTGCCCGAGTCGAGCTCGTTCAACAGGTCCAGGGTGATGAGGCTGGGATCACAGGAGCGAGACGGATCGAGCAGCTTGGTCAGCGCCTCGGCGTTGGACAGGTCGCGATAGCCAAACGCGTAGATCGCCGTCGTCCACATCCCTCCCGAGACGCCCAGCATCATGTCGAGCTTGGAGCACGCGTCGTCCTTCTTGAACAGGCCGCGGAGGATGCCATAGCCTGCCGAGAGAGCGTGGTTGCCTCCGCCGTTGAGGCTGAGGCCGAGTTGGTCCGAGCCGTTCGACGCCAGCGAGGACTTGGCGAGCAGGCGCGCCGCCTCGGCCATGGCCGCCTCCTCGGTGGTGCGCTGTGCGGCCAACCGTCTCGCCTGGACGTAGGCCCTGGTCGGCGGGGCCGTTGTGGGGAGGGCTCCCGGCGCAGGTTTTGTGGTCATGCTTGCCGATCAGCGTCTGCAGGCGTAGCTGCGCGCCCGCGCTCCGGCGCAGTCCGAGAGCTTGTCGCGCTGCAGCAAAGCGATCACCTCCTTGCGTGATGAGGGGAGCGGGCGCTGGGCTGGTGGGCTTTCTTTTCCGTGCTTTTCCGTTTAAAAGAGCCTCCACCCATACCGCGTTGGTGTCCCAGTCGTTGGTCGGACTGTGTTTCGCCTTCCCATCAATCAATCAATCAAGAGCCTCCGCCGCTCCCGCGTAGCGATGGCGACGGCAGCGTCAGCCCGTCTCTCGCCGCCCGAGCTTTTTCAGTACATCGCCTGTGCGCCAGAAGAAAGAGCATCAAGCGGCAGAGAGAGTGAGAGAGACGCGAGCGAGCGAGAGAGAGAGGGATACAAGCACGCTTTCACCGATTTGCTGTGGGCATTGGCTGAAAATAGATTAATAGTACAAAACGACCAAGTCAAGCGAAATCGGCCCAACGAAAACAGCACTCGGGGCGGTAAGCGCCTGCTCTCTCTACTATCTCATACCGCCCTCTCCGCTTTCCATATCATGCCCGTGATGGGCTGATGGCACCATCACTGCCGCCGTCCTGATTTTGAAACGTGGCAGCTACCTAGGTAGACTTGGTAGTTGTGGCAAACACGGAGCAGGCAGTAGCCGCTCCTCCCCGGCTGGAGGGGGGCTCCCGGGGGGGGGTGGGCGCCGCAGGCGCCCTGCGCCGCTACGGCGCAAGAGTTGCCGCGTAGCGGCAGCGCCGCAGGCGCTGGAGGCGCCGCAGGCGCCGCGGAGCGGCGCGGAGCGCCGCCGCAGGCGGCGGACAGCAGGCGCACAAATTAAACGCATTTTTTGACTCCGCGGTTTGGCCACAATCTTCAAAATCCGGGTACAAATCGACTTAGACGGCCCCGGTGTGGCCCCGTGTGGATCCCTGAAGCTCTCGCACGGGACCAGGGCGTCGGGCTGGGAGTAGAGGCAGCAGACAGCAGGCTGGCGGATTTAAGGGCCAGTATTGAGTCTGTCATTTGGGCACTGTATTCGGTTTTGCCTCCTGACTCTCCGGAGCTCAACGCTCGCGCGTTCGCTCTGTCCGCGAGGCTTTCTTGGCGAGGGTGGAGGTGGCGGGGAAGGCCGTGGTGGTGATGGTGGTGGCGAGGGTGGGGGTGGGGGCGGCGGCGAGGGCGGCGGTGGTGAGGGCGGCGGCGGCGGAGGCGGCGAGGGCGGCGGCGGGGACGGCGACGGCGGCGGCGGCGACGGCGGCGACGGCGGCGGCGACGGCGGTGGCGGCGATGGCGGTGGTGAGGGTGGAGGGCTAGGCGGAGGCGGCGAGGGCGGTGGAGACGGTGGCGGCGGCGCTGGCGGAGGCGGACTCGGTGGCGGCGGCAAGGGTGGTGGTGGGGAGGGCGGCGGGGAAGGCGGCGGCCTCGGAGGTGGTGGTGACGGCGGCGGGAAGGGCGGCGGAGACGGCGGAGGCGGTGGTCAGCTCGGGGGAGGAGGTGAGGGCGGCGGTGGCGAGGGCGGCAGTGGGCTCGGGGGCGGCGGCGAGGGCGGCGGTGGTGAGGGCGGCGGCAGGCTGGGGGGCGGCGGTGATGGGGGCGGCGGCGATGGCGGAGGCGGGCTGGGAGGCGGCGAAGGAGGTGGCGACGGCGGCGGGGGCGATGGTGGCGGCGGGCTGGGGGGCGGCGGTGAGGGCGGCGGCGGCGGTGAGGGCGGCGGCGGGCTCAGCGGAGGCGGCGAGGGTGGAGGAGGCGAGGGCGGGGGCGAGGGTGGTGGCGGTGAGGGTGGTGGTGGGCTGGGAGGGGGCGGCGGCGGTGAGGGGGGTGGTGAGGGGGGTGGCGGAGACGGCGGCGGCGGTGCCGGCGGTGGCGGTGAAGGGGGGGGCGGCGACGGCGGCGGCGGGGACGGCGGCGGTGACGGAGGGGTCGGAGAGGGCGCTGGTGGCGACGGTGGCGGAGGCGAGGGCGGTAGCGACGGAGGCGGCGATGGCGGAGGCGGCGATGGTGGAGGCGACGGAGGTGGGGCGGTGGTGGGAATGGAGGGGGCATGGGCGGCGAGTGCGGCGAGGGCGATTCACCGGGCGGAGGAGGAGGAGACGGTGGCGGCGGCGAGGGTGGCGGAGGAGAGGGTGATGGGGGCGACGGTGGCGGTGGCGACGGCGGAGGAGGGGAGGGGGGCGGTGACGATGGCGGCGGTGATGGTGGCGGAGAGGGCGGCGGTGGCGATGGTGGAGGTGATGGGGGCGGCGATGGCGGTGGCGGAGGGGGCGGCGATGGTGGCGGCGGCGGCGGCGGTGACGGCTGCGGCGGCGATGGCGGCGGCGGCGGCGGTGGCGACGGTGGCGGCGGCGACGGAGGTGGCGGAGGGGGAGGCGACGGTGGCGGTGACGGCCCGGTGGGTCACTATCGGGTTGAAGATGATGAATTTCAGCCCGACCGCCGCCAAGCAAAGACGGTGCGCGCCGCTTCCATCGCCTCTTGCGTCCACATGCCGTCGGCCGGCTTGATGTGTCGTCGCACAAAGGTCTCGGCGCGAGGCGGCGAGAGCACCACTGGGTCATTGAGCAGTGACTCAAACACCTCCAGATTTCCGCCCTGGAGCGAGCCATCATTCTGCGGCTGCGGCATGACGGGACGCACTGCGTGGATGAAGAGGGCCTCAGCCCCGCGTCGTGCACCGGCGTGAAATGAATGATATCCGCCGCCGGGTTGCGTCTGGCCCTTGGAACGGGCGCAGCTCCCTCCACCCCTACATACGCGACCATCAGGTTCTCGGTCGCCTTGTCGAGGTCAAAGTTGGAGATGGCTAGCAGCCGTTGCGCCTCAGTATCTGGCAAGCCAATGGACTGCGCCGTTTGCATGTACTTTGCCTCCTGCTCCGCTCTCGACTGTGCGGGTGCAGCCGTCACTGGTGCAGTCACACCATCGAAACCCGTCGCAGACATGGCCTGCTGCGATGCGGGGTTCGGCAGCGCACCGAGCGACACCGCTCCAGCTGGCAACACGGTTGCGATCGCAGCCGGCTGCGATCCTCCTTGAGCCCACCCAGCCCCTGCGGCATTGCTCGACGACGGCGGGGCCAGCACCATCATAGGCGTCGGGAGACCAGCGGAAGACGAGGCGGCGGCGTGCGGGCCGGCGGGCTGCACTGGCGGCGGCGATATGTAACGTGCGGTGCAATCTCCTGCACAGGTACGGTCCCAGACTGGAGTCCCGTCTGCAATGGCGCTCGGTTGTGGTTGCAGTGGCCGACGCAGGGTGTGCCGGCCGGCTTATGCTGCTTGCAAACGGCGCACTCGAAGGCCTTCTGGGCGGGGTTGACGTTGGATGCGTACCCGTGCGGCGTGCCCGACCACTGGCTGGCACTCATATGGCAGCCGTCGGCAGGAGTCGCACTATCCGCTCCGCGGTGCGCCATCTTGGATCGTCTTGGCAAGCTGCGAGAGTGATGCTGCTGCTGCTGCTGCCCTCTCCGGCGCACGCTGCCGTGCTGCGGCCCACCATTGTCGGTGCCAGCCCCCGCGTGCTGCCGCGCGCGCGCGCTCTAGCTGCGTCGGACGGCGCGGATTCGGCTGCCGGATCGGCGCTCGCAACGCTCGGCTCCAAGTTTGAGGACACGCTCGCGTCGCTCCAGCCAGAGGAGCGGTACAACGCGGTGCTAAAGTCGCTCCTCGCCCGCGGCCGCGGCTCCGGGGCAGAGGCTGGCGCGAGCGCCGTCGAGCTCGTCCGCGAGATGTCGGGCCGGCGGCTCCGGGTCGCGCCAGAGTCGTGCCGGGCGCTGCTCGACGCGACCGCGCGGAGCGACGGCCTGCCGCTATTCCTGTCGGCGCTTTCGGCCTGCCGCGCCAATGGCGCGTGCCGCGCCTTCGCCAGCGCGCGCCTCTCTTCCCGACCCTCCGCCGTGTCTGCGCTCGCGCCGCTGCCCGAGGACTCTCGCGCCGCCGAGGTGAGCTTTGCGGTCGGCTTTAGCGGCGTGCTGCTCGCGCTTGGCGGGCTCGAGTTTGTGGACCTGCTCGACCCGGTGCTGCCGGGGGAGACGGAGGCGCCGCCGCTCTGGCTCCTCGCCGGCGGCCTCGCCGGCGTCTGGGGCTTCGACCGCTACTCGCGCCGTGGCGAGGGCGCGGCCAGCCTCGCGCGAGGGCTGTCGCGGCTCTTCTCGCGGGACGTGACGCGGGAGAGCACGGCGGAGGCCGCCTCTTTCGTCTCCGGCTACCTGCTCGGCCTTCCCTCGTGCGCCTTCACGCCCACCGCAGTGCGGCCGGTCGAGCTGCTCGCCGCCGCCTCGGACGCGCTCGGCGGCGCGGTCCGCAGCCCCTCGATGCGGAATGCAGACCCCTCCCCTCCGACCGGCCGTTGGATGGGCGCACTCTCCCTCCCTCCCACGAGCGCCCCGGACTCGGCTGTGCCCCTTCGGACTCACGCCCCCGCCACTGCAGCAGTCACGCCTGTACGCACGCGGCGCGGCGAATCACCTTGCACGGGTCCTCTCACGCATCTCGCGCCTTTGCACTCACCTCAGGCGGGCGGCGGCCAGCCGCGGCTAGCCGACAGGGTGCTCGTGTGGTTGCTCTCGCCCGTGGCGGCGGAGGTAGCGGCGTACGGCGATGTGACCATCTCGCGCCCGGCGCTCGCCGCCCAGTTCCTTCAGGCTGCGCGGCGGCGCGAGGCGTCGGCGGGCGTCGACGTGCAGGAGGGAGGCTGGGGCGAGGGCGAGGAGGCGGACGAGGTGCGGTTGCGGTGGGCGTTCGGAGAGGCGAGGCGCCTTCCGCGAGCGACACTTCCGGGACATGTCCCAGACACTTCCCTGGGCATGTCCTGTAGGCGAAGCGCCTGCTGGCGGCGAACGCCGCGGCGCAGCAGGCGCTGCAGGACCAGATGGCGGCGGGCGCGTCGGTGGGCGGGTCGGTTCTCCTGCTCGAGGAGAGGCTGAAGGGCCGCTGGGGGTCGGTCTGAAGAGATCTGAGCTGAAGGGCGTGGGGGCAGCAGGTCTGAGAGATGCCGGAGCCCCACGCGAGTCGCTAGGCTTGCCGTGGGTGCTTGACCATGGGACGCAGGCCGAGGGGCGTCGGGCCCTTGCGCGAGAGTCTAATGCTAGATTTAGACTGGTGGTGGGAGAGCGGAACGGGAAGAGCCCGCGCGCACCACATAACCTGTCTACCTGTGCGCTCAAACAAAAAAAATTGAAGGAAATAAATTGAAAACATATATGCGCAATGCCGCATCGGCGACGGCGTCCCTGATATACCACCCTAACCCTCGGAGCGAGTGACGGGTAATCGTGGCCGTGGCCAAGAAAATCAAAATATTAAGCTCTCTGTTTGGACCACGGTGAAAAACTCGACGGTTTTGGGCGTTTCAGAGCACGCTGAATCGATTGGCTGAGCTATCTGATCGCAAACTGACTTTTCGGTCAATGCGAGTGCGACTATCAACCCCTCACGCGTGTGCATAATCCCCTCCATCTTGTTGTGCAGCGCCTTGACCTCTCCGCCTCACTGCGGCATCAGCGCGCCTCGCCTCTGCCTCCATCGAAATCTGCAGCGCGTCGAGCTGCAGACTGCAGTGTCACGCTCGCGCGCGCGTGACAAACTGGCAATTCTCGTTTCCTATTCACTTGGTCCCCCAACGGAAGAGGCCTCGCTCCTATTGGAACACTCCAACATCAGGTTTGCCTCGTGCGTCCCTTTTTGAGGCGGCAAGCTTTTTTCTTTTGGGTCCTGTGGGGGCACGACCCTATATCCCTATACGAAATTTCGTAACTAACCCGCTTGACAGCCCCTCACCGCTTCAGAATGCGTCATGTGCCCTCCTCAGCGACACCGCCGCCGCGATCGCTCCGCGCGTTCTTCGTGGACCGACTCTGGCCTTCTAGCCGGCGGTCACTGTGTGTCCGGTCCTCCGGTCGTGAATTTTGAATCCTTTTCACAGCGCCTTGTTATGACGACTCATCTCTCTTGTGGCACACAGACGGTTGCAGCCGCCTGCGCCACGACACCGCGCACACCGCGCTTGCGTCGGGCGCCCTCTCACGCATTGCGTGTTGTGCGACACTGCGCATCATTCATGTGGCGCTGTGTGAGCAGCTCCCGGTGGGACTCACCTCGAGGGACTGCGCGGGACTCACCTCGAGGGACTGCACGCGCGCCCGCGCGGCGCGGGGCCCAGCCCACAGCCACGATCGTTCACAACAGAACGCACCCCAGAGTACGAGAGACCCTTCCCATTGGCTGCCACTGCGCCAGCTGTCCTTGCACGCGGGCTAGGCCGCCTCCCGCGCCCTGGCCCTCGCGGCGGCAGCTGACGCGCGCCTAGCCTTGGCTGCGGCGAGCGCCGCCTCGGCCGCCGCTACTGCCGCCTCGGCCGCCTCCTCCTCTGCCACTGCCACAGCCGCAGCCTCCGCCTCAGCCTGCCGGCGCGCCTCCGCTGCCGCCTCCTCGCCCTCCTCCTCGCCCTCCTCCTCGCCCTCCTCCTCGCCCTCCTCCTCGGCCGCCCCCGCCGTCTCCTCGTCGCCCTCCTCCTCGCTCGCCTCGCCCGCCGCCTCTCCCAGCGCCTCCGCCAATCCCTCGACCGACGTCTCCGGCGTGATGCCGAACCGGATCCTGTCCTCGTGGAGCTCCGCGAGAAGCCGGAGCAGCCCCTCCTTGTCCAACGGCGCGGGCTTGGCTGCGGCTGCCTCTGCCGGCGCCTCCCTCTCCTGCGACGGCCCAGCGCCGCCACTCCCGCCGCCCTTCTTCTTCTTCTTGCCCTTCTTGCCCTTGGCGCGCTTCTCCGCCTCGACCTCCGCCAGCAGCTCCTCGGCGTGCCGCGCCGCCTCCTTCTCCTCCGCCGCCCTCTGCGCCGCTCTCGCCGCCGCCCCCGCAGCCCACGCCGCCTCCTTCGCCGCCTTCTCGGCCGCCGCCTTGGCCGCCGCATGCTCCTCGAGGGCGCGCACGCACTCGGCGTGGCCCTTGTGCTTGGCGAACTGCAGCGCGGTCGTGCCATCCGTAGTGCGCAGCGTCACATCTGCGCCCGCCCGCAGCAAGCAGAGGAGGGCGGCGGGGTGGCCGAAGAAAGCGGTGATAATCAGAGCGGTGTCGCCGTTGTTGGCCTGAAGGTCGATCGCTGCGCCGTGCCGCAACGCCAACTCGACCAGCTTCTCGTGGCCGTTGCCGGCGGCGGCCATCAGCGCGGTGCTGCCTTCGCCAGACTGCAACGAGATATCCGCACCGCGCTGGAGCAGCGCCTCGGCCAGCCCCTCGTGGCCCTTCATCATTGCGATCATCAGCAGCATCATGCCGCTCACACGCTCGCCGTCCACAAAGACGTACTCGAACCTCGCGTCGACCCGCCCGCCGCCGTCGAGCCACGCCAGCACCGCCGCCTCCTCGCCTCGCCGAGCCGCTGCCACAACCTCCTCTGGCACCGCCCCGCCGCCGCTCGGCTCGGCCTCCGCGCCTCCCTCGCCGCGTGAAGCAGAGGCCGCGGCACTCGCACCCACCGCCGCGCCTGCGCCTCCTGCCTCGGCCGACGGCGCCTTGCTTCGGCTCGCCGCCACCTCCCCGAGATGCGTCCTGAAAGCCTGGACGCACTCGGCGTGGCCCTTCTCTTTGGCGATCTGCAGCGCCGTCCTGCCGCTAGAGCGCAGCGTCATGTCCGCGCCCGCGCGCAGCAGGCGGAGCACGACGGCAGGGTGGCCGAAAAAGGCGGCGCACGTGAGCGCAGTGTGGCCGTCGCTGGCTTGAAGGTTGATCTCCGCCCCGTGCTGAAGCAGCAAGTCGGCCACGCGCTCGTGGCCCTTGGCGGCGGCGGCCATCAGCGCGGTGATGTCTGCGCTGCTCTGCAGGTTGATCTCTGCGCCGTGCCGCAGCAGCATCTCGGCCACCTGCTCGTAGCCCCAGCGGGCGGCGGCCATCAGCGCCGTACGGTCGTGGCCATCGCGCGCGTCCGCCTCCGCGCCGCGCTTCAGCAGCAGTTCGACCAGCTGCTTGTGACCGTGGGCGGCGGCGATCGGCAGGAGCGTCCACCCACTCACGCCGCGACGCACGCACGTCGCGTCAACCCGCCCATCCCCGGTGAGCCACGTCTGCACCACGCCGACCTTGCCATTCTCCGCCGCCGCCTCGATCCTTTTCGGCAGCGAGAGCGGTGCGACAGTAGCCGCTGTTGAAGCGTGCCCGCGCCGGGAGGCGGCCGAGCCAGCCTTCGTTCGGCCGGGCATGCAAACGGGCGGGGTTGCGGGTGCTGCGCGCCTCCACTCTCTTTCTGCCGCGCTGGGCTTCGAAAAAAGAATTCGCGCCGTTTTTCTGTGTGTTGCTGTGGTCCTTGCGCGAGGGGAGCTCGATAGACTCGAGGGGCCAGGATACGCCGCGAGGAGGACGGAGTTGCGCCGAAAGGCGAAAGAAGCCGCGAGAACAAGGGACCGGCAGGCGGCGGCGTCACAGGACGAGGCAGAAGAGAACGACGCGACAGAGGAGGAAATGACAAGGGAGAGAACGACGAGAGTGGGACGACCGCGAGGTGGCATGAAGATTGCAGCGAGAAGCGGCGAGAGACTGCGAAAAGAGATACGAAGAGGCAGACTCCCCAGGGTGGGCGACGGCTAGCGCACCACACACCTCTCCTTAAAATCCCTGTGTGGTGGCGGCGCGCCGTCCTCCCATCCCTCCCTTGGGTTGTCTGTTTTCTTTCTTTCTTTCTTTTTGGGGCCGGCCGCAATCCATACAGTCGGTGCCGTGGGCGGAAGCCATAGAGCGAGCCGTCGCCTCCGTCGTCACACTCGCCGTCGCGTGCATGCGGGTGCTGAGCGCCTCCTCTCTCTTCTAGGCTCCCTCCCGCACGCCGAGCCATTTTTTTCGGGAGCAGGCAGATCTTTCCCGCCAAAGCTTCGAAAAAAGAATTCGCGCGCCACCAAGTTCACCCGCCTCTCAGCTCTCTCACTTCCCACATTCTGGTGTCTGAGAGATGCCGCTCCCGCCTGTCGCAGGAGGTGAGGCACGAGGACTCTCACGAGGACCAGTAGCCTGACCTGCATCGAGAAGCTTCACCTATTATTCTTCCTTCTCTCTCTCCTTCTCTCTCTCACTCCCTCTCTCTCTCTCCCATTCCAGAGTGATAAATAGTCCGCCGTATTGTTTCCTATATCCCTATATTCCCACACCCTGTGCAGTGGCACGTCACGCTTCCCCAACTCCCGTTGTGCAAGTTTGGCACGTCATAGTCTCTGACTGCTTCTCGTGGCTTGCACGCGCCGCGAGACAGTCGACCTCTTTGCTGTTGTGGTGTCACAACTCGGTGCAACTGGCGCCATTCCCCCACCGGTGTGTAACTACGCCTTCGTACTTTGAAAACAAGGCTGCACTCGCCGCCTGCTGGACTCTGACTAATATCTCCGTAGCCCCCACAACCGCCCCACCCTGAGCCCTGGCTGTCAGGCTGTCAGGTGCTGTCAGGTAGGTGATTTGTCGGCACTCTCTGATAGGCACTGCCAGTTGCCTCAGAGTCACAGCCCCCACCGCCGGGGCGCGGGCATCGGAGAGATCCAAGTCTGAAGTCACTGCGAGAGTCGTCTCCAATTTCACAATTCCAAGATCGACGACACACAAATCACAAAAACCGTCTCTCGGTCTCGCGCTTGCTCTCTCCGCACTGCGGCTCCCGCACACACGCCACGGCTCACGCTCTCCAGTGAGCTCGCCTCGCCGCTGGTATTAGGGGCCGCGCTGCCGGCGCCGAGCGTCACCTGCCTAGCCACGTCTCTTCCTCTAACGAGAGGAGACGCTCGGCGTCCGGGTAGCCGTCGTACTCGACCGCATCCACACGAACCCTCCTCTGCGAACCCAGGATCTCGACGTGCGTGCCTTTCTCGACGACAGCGTGCCCGGCCAGCCTCGCCGTCGCGTCCAAGCGCAGCCGCTCCACCGCGCCTCCTGCGACTCCGCAGGCTGCCGCAGCACGTAGTGTCGGCTGTACTCAGCCACGCCCGCGAGGACGTCAGCCGCTCACTGTCTACATTCGCCTCCCTGGCCCATGGATGCAGCCGAGATGCAAAATCCCAAGCCTCCGTTGGTTCCCCCCTTGGACGCGTCCCTCCCCTGTCCAATCTTCTGCATTCCTCTTTTACATACATAATTCTCGCCAGCCCTTTCCTTTCATAATTATTGACTCAAAACTCGATGATCGCGCGACTTTGGAGCCGTTATAGCTCAGCCAAAACGTTCCTCTCGAAAAATTGACTTAGGAAGCCGCAAACGGCAGCTTCTGAAAGACTCACCGGCGCTTATTCTCTTGATCTTTCAAAACCTAGGCCTGCGGCCAAATTTTTCTAAAGGCCGCTGCGCGGCCAGCGCAATGCGCAACCAGTCAGCGACCGACAGTCAGCAGCAGACTGTGACGATTGGCGGCCTCGCGCCCTCAGTCGACCTCCTCTACCAACTCCCCTGCCCAGCCCATATGCCTCATCCACGGTGGCGCAACCACTCGCGCAGGGAGAGAGAGAAAGTCGGCGATCTGCGCCGTGCAGATGAGCTCCGCCTCGTCTGCGTCGAGGACGCCCATCGCAGGGCTGTCATATAGCGCCATTGCATATGACGTACTGCATGTTGTTCATTACTTCGCAGGTGCCAAAGTCGAGGATAAACTCACTCAGCGATGGCGAAAGCTGCACTCCCGGCCGGCGGTAGGAGAGATGAAGGCTAATGTACTTCGCAGTGTACGGTGCCTTCCTGCGCGAACAGTGCCCGGGACGAAAGAGGAGGCGACGTCTCCCTCGTCCATGGACGGTGTAGCCAGCTTGAGAGACGGGAACGAACGGCGGTGAATCGCCGACAGCGGCGCCTTCGTTCCTTTCCAGTGAATCGCCGGCGGGTGCCCTGAGCGTTGTATCTGTCGGCCAGTTGCCGCACCGCCGGCAGCAGCTCCGCAGCAGCCGCCCAGATGGCGCCGGTTAGGACAGGAGCGAAGCCGCGTGGACACGGCTGAGCGACGCCGTGCGTCTCGTTTGGATGCTGCAGGCATGCCGGGCAGCGCGCGTGCTCCATACCGCGCGTCGGGCGCCCGCCGAAATCTTCGATTTCTTTGGCGTAGGAGACCAAAAACCCTGAAAATTTTCTTCGCCTGCGGCGGGCAATTAATTTCGCTACTTTCGCTTTCACAGCTCTTCCACACGACTTTATCCGTCACTCGCTCCTCGAACGTGAAACAACGTGCAACGACTAAAGCGAAGCCGTCACATACATGGGCACATGTGCACGCCTGATGCACGCATGCCGACCACGCAACACTAGCTGTTAGCTCAAGCTGAGGGCTGATTTTCGCACACAAACGACAAAGTGTTGTGTGCGTGGCCTGTGCCGGCCTGCCACGCTCCGAAATACGAGGAGAGACGATTCGCGCGCCGTCGCACACCCTGGAAGCCTGGTCCCTGACTCCCCAAGGTCACTGATGGTTCATCACAACGTAGTTTGCACGGAAGTCCTCCGGCGTCATGTCGATCTCGTCAAAGAAGTCCTGGCTGAACTGCTCGCACGGCCCATTCTTGTAGTGGCCCGGCTCGTACTTGCAGCCGCAGAGCCAGCACCACTCGAAGTTGCACGTGCGGCAGCTGATGTGGTTGCAGCCGCCGTTCTTCTCGGTGGCGACGCCGCACTTGGGGCATGCCTTCGCGTTGGAGCGGATCCACTCGGCCGACTCGACCTATGGAAAAGAAAACCGTGTGTCGGGCAAAGGAAGCCGCGAGCAGCCGCCCCCCCTCCCCCCAGAAATTGGCCTCTTCCATCAGCCGGTCGCCGTACTTTTGCCGCAGCGTCTCCCTGCCGCGCTCGTCGCTCGCCCGCCACCGCGCGGCGAGGTTGGCGCACGGCGAGATGCCGTGCCACGCCTGCCGGCACTCTGCGCAGAAGGAGGTGCCGCACGAGGCGCAGATGGCGAGGCGGCCTATCCGCAGCTAGAGCGTGAGGAGACGCTCTGTTCACGCTCACGGGTGCCGCAGATGGCGACGCGGCCTGCGCGGCCCTCGACGCGCGGCTCGAGCTGCGCGGGGTACTCGCAGCGAGGGCACCAGCTGGTGTCGGTCATCTCGGCGAGCGACGCGGCGAGCAGCAGCCGCTCGTACGTCTCGTACTCGCCGGCGGAGAGGAGGGCCTTGGCCTCGGGCGGCGAGGCGACGGCGCCGCAGCCAGGGTGCGGGCAGAGGAGCGCGGTGGCGTGGCCTTCGCGCAGCTGGCTGCTCCAGTAGCCGCGCAGGCAACTCTTGCAAAAGGTGTGCCCGCAGGCGTGCAGCCGCGTACAGTCGAGGGAAGCGTACTCGTCGAAGCACACGCCGCAGTCGTGAACCGCCGACGCCCACGCCGCCGCGTCGGCCGCCGCCGCGTGCTGCCGCAGCCGCGCGAGCACCTCTGCGCGGGAGCGAGGCCACCGCTGCGCGCGCCGCTCGCCCGCCGAGGCGGTCGCCTCGTCGGCGCCCGCCTGGCCGGTGCCACCCTCCGCCGGCAGAGAGAGCGTCGCCCCCTCCTGGAGCAGCTCGAGCTGCCCCGCCGCCTCCGTTCGGAGCCACTCGGCCCATGCGCTCACGCACAGCTCTCCGGCGGCGGCGGCGGCGAGGCCGTCCAAGCTCGCGGCGAGGGCCTCGAGCTGGCCGTCGGAGAGCCAGCAGCAGCGGAGGCCGAAGCCGGGCGGAGAGCTCGACGGGTAACCGCTGCCGTGACGCACGCGAAGCGTGAGGGGCGGCAGCGCGTCGAGCCGCTCGCCCGACGGCAGCGAGAGCGGCGCCTCGAGCTCGATCGGGACGCGAAGCTCGAAAGTGCGGCCGCCGCCGCCCTCCACCTGGCACATCTCGTCGCTGTAGATTGCCTCCAGCGCCAGGAGCTCGTCCGCGCGCGCCGCCGCGTCCGCGTCGACCTCCGCTTCGGAACTCGCGTCGCCCTCGAGAAGAGCCGCCGCTCCGCCCCACTGGACGGAAGCTCCAGCGCGGGGCTGGGCTGCTGAGCCCTCGGGAGCAGCGGCGGCCGCAGTCGGAGCAGCAGCGGCGGCGATTGGAGCGGTGGCGCGTGCGTCTGTGAGAGGTGCTCTGCCCGGCCGGACAGAGGCGCCGCGGCCACGGCCGCGGCCGCCGCGGCCACGGCCGCCGCTTCCTTTCACGCTGCCTCGGCCACGTCCGTTGCCGCGACCGCCGCCTCTGCTGGCGTCGCCGCCGTTGCCGCGACCGCCGCCTCTGCTGGCGTCGCCGCCGTTGCCGCGATCGCCGCCTCTGCCGACAACGACGTCGCCCGTATCGCCGCCTCTGCTGGCGTCTCTGGCACTGCGGGGTTGCGGCCGCGGTGGCAGCGGCATAGCTTGGAACTTTCTGGGAAGGCGCGCGCAGCGCCTACGAAAGAAAACGGAAAAGCAAGGGCTACCCGGTAAAAGCCTCGGAATTCTTAGAGAGAGGCGCTGAGTCGAGCCGCGGCGGGCCACAGGCCGCCCACGCCCAAAAGGTTTGCAGAATGAGCAACGGGACCGCAGAGAAGAAGGACCCGTATCTGCGGGTGCTCGTGACGGGCGGCGCCGGGTTCCTGGGCTCGCACCTGTGCCGCCGGCTCGTCGCTCAGGGCCACGAGGTCGTCTGCCTCGACAACTTCTTCACCTCGCAAAAGACAAACGTGAAAGCTGCTGCCCAGCCCTGTGCTCTCTCGCACATCGCCGCCGGCATCAGCACCCGCACCCAATGCGCGCAGGTGGCCGACCTGATCGGCAAGCCGAACTTTGAGCTCATCCGACACGACGTCCGCGCCCCGCCGCTGCCGCGCTCCGCCGCGCCACCCGCTGTCGGCTGCCCCGGCCGACTCCACTCTCACACGTCGCACTCGCACGCTACCGCCTCCCCCGCACCGGCTGCGCCACCCCGCCCGGCGCGCCTCCCGCCGCGGCAGGTGACCACGCCCTTCTTCATCGAGTGCGACCAGATCTACAACATGGCCTGCCCCGCCTCGCCGGTGCACTACCAGCTACGATTGCCGCCGCGAGGAGGGACGTCACCGCTGGGCCCTCTCCTGAAGCTTCTGGGAGCCTTCGCACAGGTACAACCCCGTCAAGACGATGAAGACGTCGGTGCTCGGCGCCATGAACATGCTCGGCCTCGCCAAGCGAGTCAAGGCACCGCCGCCCCTCCCCCGCATCGCCGCACCCCGCCCTTCGGCCCGCTCCTTCGGCCCGCTCCTCGCCCCGCCCCTCGGCCCTGGACGGGAGCCGACTCTTTACGGCTGCTGCTTGGCCCTCCGCAGGCTCGCCTCCTCCAGGCGTCGACCTCGGAGGTGTACGGAGACCCCGAGGTGTCGCCGCAGCCGGAGGAGTACTGGGGAAAGGCGCGCTGCACACTCTGATGGCCAGCGAGGCACTCCTCACTGACGGGGGGAGCGTCCTCCGCGGCACAGGTCAACTGCAACGGCGTGCGCTCGTGCTACGACGAGGGCAAGCGCGCGGCCGAGACGCTCTGCTTCGACTACCACCGGCAGGTAATGATTTGTTTATTTATTTATTTAATTAATTATTCATTTATTTATTTATTCGACTACCACCGGCAGAACGGCGTCGACATCCGCGTCGCGCGCATCTTCAACACCTACGGGAGAGCCGCCTCTAGATGGCACCAGATGGCCGCACTCGCAAACCTCTCCGCCGGCCGCACTCGACTGTGCGCCGCATCCCCTGTCCGCTCGCAGCCTTGTTGCGAGGCTCGGAAGGCAGTGGGCGAGGCCGCGCTGTTGGCCTGACCCTTGCGGCACGGTTGGCCTGACCCTGCTGCCCTGCTGCTCCAGGCCCGGGATGCACCCGTACGACGGCCGCGTCGTCTCAAACTTCATAATGCAGGCCCCCCCGGGGGGGAGGAGATCGCTGTGGTACGGCGAGGGGTGGGGAGGGGTGGGGACAGACGAGTCCCGTGTGCCTGGGGCAGGCCATCAACGGGGAGGACATCACCGTGTACGGCGAGGGGAAGCAGACGCGCTCCTTCTGCTTTGTCGACGACCTCGTCGACGGGCTGATGAAGCTGATGAACCAGACCAGCACCATCGGCCCAGTCAACATCGGCAACCCGGGCGAGTTCACGATCAAGCAGGCGGCTCCTGCCCTGCTCCCGCACGCCTCTCCCCTCCTCCCCCGCACGCCTCTCCCCTCCTCCCCGCTCCCCCTCTCTCCCCCGCTGCTTCTGTGCCCGTGCCTGCCCTCTCTCCTCCTCACCGCCGCCTCCCTCCTCCCTGCAGCTGGCCGAGCTCGCGATCAAGCACACCGGCTCCAGCTCGAAGATCGTGCACCTCCCGCTCCCCGGAGACGACCCGCAGCAGCGAAAGCCCGACATTACCAAGGCAAGCCACTTCCTAGACACTCCCGGCACACTCCGTACACCTCCCCGACACTTCCACGCCCTTCTAGACCCTTCCTAGACCTTCCTCCGACATCACCAAGCATTGCGTGCGGGCCTGTGGCAGGGCGCCCCGCACCCGGCTACCCGCGATCACCTGAGATGCCCGAGGATGGCGGCTGAGACTAGGCGCGCGAGATCCTCGGCTGGGAGCCAAAGATCAAGTTGGAAGATGGGCTGCCAAAGGCGGTCGCATACTTCTCCTCGCTCGACCTATCCCGCTTCCGCAAGCCGACAAAGCACACCGCGCACCTCAACACGGACGCACAGGCGGCCGACGCATCGCGCGCCTCCAAGGCCTAGGCCCGCGCCCCGTCTCTCGGCCCCCTTCGGCCGGCGCCGGGATGAGCCCTTTGTGGCTAGCTGCCTGGCCGTTGCCTGGCCGCGCTCGCAGCTCCTTCCCGCGGCTCTGGCTGGCGCGGCGGAGGGGTGGGGAGCGGGTCGAGGGAGCGGGACGCGTCGGTCGTCGCGCGGCTTGGAACGCGCGGGCCCGGGCGTTTCGACTGAACTCTGAACGCGTGTCTCTCCACCGCCGATGCGAGCGTGCGGTGTGTACCTCTATCTGTGTGTGGATGTGTGCGCATACCCGGGTTGTGCTGTGGCGTGGGGCGTGGCGCGCACACCGCGCACATGCGCGCGCGGGCGGAGAGAGAGACGAGCCTCTTTCACGAGTAACTTTCATCTTGTGGGAGACCGTTCATACCTTCTCACTCTGTCTGACCCACGCCGGTCCCCCACAAATCTCTCGGGACTCTCGGCGCCCGGCGGGCCCCCCACAAAAGAGCACACAGGAGCCACACGCGCCGGGGCTTTTAGCTTTTACCAGGTCAATGCACACCGCCCACAAGTCATAGTCACACACCGAAGACCGACGATGTGTCCAACATGCGCACACGCGACTGCCCAACTCTCGCGAACACCGAGATCTCTGTGTGTTGTTTTTGTCGGATCTTGTCCCTCTCGCGTCACGAGTTCGAACGAGTGTCCCTCAATTCCTCTGAGAGAAGAAGCCTAGCAAAGGCGCGCTGCCTTGTACATAGCCCATAGGCACGAACCCAGTGCACGCGTACACCACGGCATAAGCGACCATGGCCACTACAAAAGCGCGCAGCAGCAGGTGACCCCATCTGTGAGCACGACTCAGCGGAGAGTGACGGAGGCTCTCGTCGGCGAGGATACTGCTCACGGCGACCGCCATTGCATTGCTCACCAGTGACAGGAGGACAGAGTGCAACAGTGCACTAGCCTGCGCCTCGCCACCCCGCAGGTCAAGAGCCGATTTCAACGCGGGAGCGCACGGAACGCGCATATCGCAAAAGGGAAGTAAAATGCGCGGCGATGCAAGTTGCCGCAACGGGATAACAGGCCCGCCGGCGAGCCGGAAGGCCGAGGCTGGAGAGCCCCAGGGGGGGCTTGGGGTCAGTTGTCGGAAGAGGCGAGAGATGAGCTGATGCGGCCTCTGAGAGTGGAGTCGGGGTGTACGAGCTCACCGGGGGAAGGCCCGTCGCGGTGGCGGCCGGACCACCGTGATATTCGATGGGGAGGGCCACGCCTCCCCGAGCCTGAAGAGGAGCCGGCGGAGGGGGGGGGCGAGCCGAGGACGATAGAGAGGCCGCGGGTGCGGGCGCGATTTGTCGACCAGGGAGAGGTGGCTCGACCTCCCGAGGAGGTGCGCTAGGAGGTGCGGTGGGACGATCCCATGCCACCGCCCTCGCCCAGGGAGTCGGGGGCGGGGTCGCCGGCGCCTCCCAGGAGTGGCCCCGGAACAAGGCGCTGGCCGGTGCTGCTGTGCAGCCGCTCGTTGCTGCTTCTCAGACGGCTGGCCTGTCGCTCAAGGGCTGTGTGACGACCCGTCGGCCGCCATCACCAATGCCGCCACCCCCCTCGGCGCGGCGAGCCTCAAGGCCTTCTGCATGCCTATGGCGTACGCGGTCATCATGCGCCGGCCCAGGTTCGAGCGCACTCGCTCGGACGCCGCCGTCATCGAAGGGCGGCTATCGCGGCCTAATCGCCGAGGGCTCTCCGTGACGCTCTCGAGGAGATGCTTCGCGAGGTGGGCGACCGTGAGAAAGGAGACGGCGACGGCGAAGACGGCGGCGGCGGCGGTGGGAACGCCGAAAACGTGCCGCGCAGCCAGGCGAGCATGCACTCGCGTTGCCTTCGCCGGACGCGGCTCGGCGAGGCCAAGATGGGCCTCCAGGAGCTGCAGCCCGCCGACGTCGTCGACCCCTCCAAACCCGAGAATCAGAAACAGTACGCTGACACGCTTCAGCAGCCCAAAGAGCCGCTCGACCCGGAGCTGCTCAAGCGGGTGCCCGGAGTCAAGACCTTTGCTCCGAGCGACAAGTACATCGACAAGGTGTTCTTCAACCCGCCACGGCAGCGAGCGGCGGGCGTCGACGGAGTCACCATGGAGACGTGGTCTCTCGTCTACCACAACGGCGGGAAGGAGGGCTGCCGCGGCCTCGTCAAGTCGATCTGGTACGCCGCGGTGGGCGACGAGACAGTGCAAAAAGATCCTCTGCCCCATCCGCGCGTGCGCCTTCTACAAGGACGACAAACGCGAGCGTATTCGCTGCCTCGGCATTGGCGGCTCCATCCGTCGGCTGGCGTGTCGGTGCGGGACGCTCGAGATGCATATGAGCTGGAACAAGTTCTACACGTCGATGCACCCGACTGACGCGCAGGAGCGGGCGACCAGAATCGGCGACGCGGAGGCCCGCCTCGCCTTTGCCCAGCAGGGGCACCAACAGACAATGGCGGCCGCGTCCGACTCCGCGAGCGCCATCCAGGCTGCAGCGGCGGCTGTCGAGAAGGCCAAGCGGGCTCTCGACACCGCCTTCGAGCCGCAAAACTTTGTCGTCAACAACGTCTTCGCCCCGAGCGGCTCCGAGAAGACCTCGAATTTTGCGTGCGCTCGTGGATGGACCCGGTGGCCGGAGCGAACAACGTCCTCTTCTCTGACGACATCTGGCAGATGTACGACTGCGTCAACCGCTCGCAGATGTTCAAGGCGCTGCGTAGCGAGGAGCTCTTCCAGCCGTGCGTGCCCGCCTACTCCGTATTCCGGCTTGCCGTCGCCGATCTACTTCAACTGCGCCGACGGCGAGCTCTCGATCGAAATCATCAGCGCCGCAGCTGCGACCGACGGTGAGGGAGGGGCCGACGATGGCGAGGACGACGAGCGTGACATCAAGACGTTCGCCAGCAGGTTCAAGGTACTCGACGAGGTCGACCAACTGCGTGACACCGACAAAGACCCGGACGTCTCGCAGCTCTTCTACAAGCTGCTGCGCTCGCGCAACGGCACCCCGTACTATTGGATGCGGACTCACCTGCCCGACGTCATCGTGCCCGTCCTCAACACGGTGGTGCTCCCGCGGCTGCGCACCTCCTTCGAAATCCTCGCCAGGGCAAACGGCACGCCCACAGAGGAGCTCGACCGCGCCTGGGAGGAGGTGCAGCTCTCGGTGGCGAAAGGCGGCTCAAACATCGGAGGGCACGCCGACGTCGCCGACGCGTGCTTCGTCGCCGCCTTCCTCGCCGTCTGGCCATCACTACGTGACAGGCCAGCCTACCACGGCCACGCCCTCGCTGGCGGCAGCGCACCGCCCCTCGTGCAACCGCCGCTGCTTGTCTACTTCAACAAGTACTACAACTCGATCCGCGACCGCTGCATCAAGCTCTGGGGCGACTACCGCGCCCGGGCCAAGCATGTCGACTTTGGGATGGTCAACAGCTACAACCTTGGGTACTACCGTCCGTCCGGCCTCCCGCTCGTTAGCAAGAATAGATGCCGCCCGTCTCCGACCTCTACTCTGAGCAGAGCACTTCTCCAGGGTCCCTAAACAGGGCACGCTCGCTCAGATTGCGTCGCACGAGCGGTGGCTTCGCTGCCTCGCCGCCTGCGAGCGGCTGGATGCTGAGATTGACGACTCGAACGGCGTCAAAAACATCGGGCGGCGACACGCTTCATCGCCGTCTCTCAGTTCGCCTCGGGAGCGTGGCTCGACCTCTGCCCCGACGGCCGGCACTCCTCCAAAATCACCTCGGAGGTTTTTGCGACGGCGCTGCAGCGCCGCCACGGCTACTACAACATTTCCTGCGCCAAGTACGTGTACGACGCCAAGGAGGCGGCTGGTGAGACAGTCACCGTCGGTATGCGGAAGGGCGACCAGCTCGCAAACGGATCGAAGGACATTCCGTGCGAGCACAACATTCGTCACAACGGCACCATGTATGCGGCGGCCAACATGGTCCGTGCACGAGCATGCGGCAAGCTCGTGCTCGGTGACAAGGGTCAAGGCGAACCCTCAGACGACTTTTCATCTCAACGAGGGGCACGTCACCGACATGTGTGAGATCGGCGGGGACCTGCAGTCCCAGTGCGATGTCCACTACGAAGTCAAGGTGCCTAGCGCCCTCACAAAGACCAGGCAGGCTGGGCAGGGCTCGGCGGCACACGGCGGATGCTGTGCGTCACTGGGCCACAAATGTGGTTTCGGCGGCACCCTCGACCAAACCTTGCTCAAGGTTCTTGGGTGCAAAGAGCGCGGCCACAAGTCACAGGGCCCGCTCGTCCATGCGACCGGCAAAGGCTGGGTCAAAGAGCACAAGGGACAGCACTACGACGCGCTCCATGTCAAGAACGGAATCGTCAAGATTTGTCTCGTCGAAAGCCAGGGCGGCATCGCGCCGCCGACCAAGAGAATCATCCACAACTTCGCCAAAGAGGTCGGCAGCCCGAGCGCCGTCGACCGCACCGACTACGGCACAGCCTCCGGCAGCGCCCGGGGCTTCGTCCAGCACCACTCGCAGGATGGGTCACTTTGGACGCGTCCCATCGGAAGGCCGCCGCTTCCACCCGGCTCCGAGAAGGCACAGCGAAGCGCGGTGCAATCAGTGGAAGCACCATCGGATCAAAAAGAACGCCGATGCTGCCCTACAGGCTGCGCAGACAGTGCTAGCTCTTTATAGCGAGGCGACCAGGCGCGAGATGTTCACTCTCGCGCCACATCCCTACAACGGGGTGCATTGTACCCACTTGCATGTCGGCACGAGCGCGGCGCCGCAGTGGGGCAAACGGGGCATCTGGGGCTAGCTCAGCTATGAGCATCACCTCTGCCGCTTCTCGCCATCCCCGAGGAGCAGCGCGCCCGAAGCAGGTGAGTCACGGCCGCTAGGTACAGTGAGCGCGGCGGGCCAGAAGCGAGAAGGGAACGTCAAGGGGAAAATCAGCAGATTCCAAGATTCAATCTCGTTTGACAAAACCCACACGGAGCTCGGGAGTATAAGAAAATCTCCCAAAATTTCTTCGGCGCTGACGCGCCGACAAAGCTGGTGCCGACCCCGACCGCCGGCCGAAACAGCCGCGTCCAGCCCGACCTGCGGCCGGCCGAACTTGTACGCACGCCGGCAGATCGCGACTGGAGGCCTTCACACAGAAAGTTATGAGGCTCTCGCGCCTCCTCTGGACGCTCCCTCTGGCGCCGCCTCCCCTGCGGCTGCGTTCTCCATGCATGGCCGGGAACAAGTACGGCAGGAAGGACTACTGGGATGATCTGTACCGCGGCTCAGGGAGCGACGGACTTCCGGCTGAGGCCTTCTCTTGGTACTGCGGCTGGAGCGAGCTGGAGCCGTTCTGGTCGGAGCTCGTGGCGTCTGGCACGCCGCGTGTCCTCGTTCCGGGCATGGGAAACGACCGCTCGCTAGTGGAGCTCTATGACGCCGGCTGGAGAGACGTCACGGCCTTTGACTACTCCGAGGACGCGGTGACGCGAGCACGTGCCCTCGTCGGCAGGCGAGACGTCCGGCTGCTCTGCGCCGACGCCACCGCGCTGCCGTTTGCAGACGCGTCGTTTGATGCGGTGCTCGATAAGGGCACCCTCGATGCCGTTGGGATTGCGGGCGACACGCGCTTGCAAGAGGCGGTGGCAGAGCTGACGCGCACCACAGCGGCGGGCGGCGTCGTCGTGACAGTCTCCCGCGCCCTCGAGCCGAGCTCGCTGCTATCCGCTTTTACCGGGCAGGACTGGAAGGTCGAGCGCGACGGAGGGCTGCACGTCGCGGAGGGCGGCGAGGTCTCGACCGACCTAGCGGCAGGGCTCTTTGCTTGGCGCCGACTGCCAGAGGGGCCGAGACGCGAGAGCCTCCGCGCCCCTCTCCCCGCGCTCTGCTCGCTCGACGACGCGACGGCGGTCGCGGCGCAGCACGCCTGCACATCGTTCGCGAGCTGGCTCGTCCCTGGACGCGTCCTCGTTGGTCGCTACCCCGGCTCCTGCCCCTCCCGCCCCTGCACGGCCGCGGAACAGCGCGAGAGGGTGCCCACCCGTGCGCGCACGTTCGTCTGCCTGCAGGCGGAGCTGCCTTTTGAGCACGATTCCGTCTCTAGCACATTCACCGCAACGCACGCTCGTCTGCCTGCAGGCGGAGCTGCCTCCGCAGGAGGAGGCCGCCGCGTGGCCGCCAGGGGGCGTCGCGGGCCAATCAGGCAACGCCGTCGCGCCGCAGACGGCACGGTTCCAGCCATATCGCGCCGACGCCCCTGAAGGAGCGCAATTCCTGCACTTTCCGATCCCGGACCGCGGCGTCGCCGACTCGCCCGAGGCACTGGACGGGCTAGTGTCGGAGCTGTCGCGCAGAGCCCTCGACGGGCAGGTCCTGTACATCCACTGCTGGGGCGGGCGAGGCCGCACCGGCATGGTGGCCGCCTGCCTCCTCGGCTCGCTGTACCGACACTTCGGCGCGGAGGAGGCGCTGCAACGCGTGCAGCGCTGCCTGTCCCTTCGGGAGGCGGGGTGTCGCTCGCCAGAGACAGAGGCTCAGGTAGAGGCGGTCCGCGAGTGGTTCAAGCGGAAAAGACCGTAAAAAATCGAAGGACGCTTGGACGGAGCTCGGAGGTCAGGGAGCTCCAGCTCTCGGAGGGGAGACAACCCTCGCAGACGAGCGCGACGCGTGCCGCATGACCGCCGTGAGCAGAGACACACACCACACTCTACATGGAAATCACTGAGACGACAGCGCAGAGCGGTGAGTGGGCGCGCGTGTGGCAACGGCGGCAGAGAGAGCTAAAACGCCGGCACAAAAACGAGTTGGCGTAGCTGCCCCTGGCCCACAAACCGGTGGACTGGACGCGGTGCAAGCCGACTGATCCAAGATGCCGGCGAATCATGATTCGCCGTCGGTGGCAAGGCGACGCTACACCGCCACTAGTAGCTATCCTCTCCCGCCTGCTCCAAGGGCGCGTCGCCAGTCCTCACCTTGAGCACATCGCTGCACACCCAAGCGCCGTCGGCAAGACCCATCCAGCTTGGCGCCAGGAAGCAGGTGAGCTCCATGTCGTCGGCGGGTCCGGAGCACTGGTACCAAGTTCCCGTCTCGAGCTTCTTCATTGCCTCACTGCGGAAGATCTCGCTCGCCTCCTCGGCGATCTTCTCCTCGAGCGGCACGCACGCGACGCCGGCCACCTCAGCCTCGATGTCGATGTTACGAAGCTCGTCAGCGCGGCCCATGATGACGAGGCCCGGGCGTGGCGACGCCAGAGGGGCGCGGAGCGTCGATGCTAGATGAAGGAGCACCATCGTTTGGGGATGGGTTAGAAGCAGGAGCCCCACTGATGAGAGGCGCGGGTTTTCTTCTTTTTTGAGAAGTTCAGAGGACTCAGGGAGTGTGGCAGCCAGCTGGCTGTGTGTCTTGTGAGCTTGTTTGTGTCTGTGTGTCGTTCGTGCGTGTCGTCATCATCTGTCCTGCGTCCACCCATACCGCGCTGGTGAGTGGTGTCCAGTCCGAGCCTGGCTGTTCTTCACCTTTCTACCTACCTATACCTCAGAGGATCGAATTCCCCGAAACAAAATCTACTGAAAAATGCTGCGATTAGGTGCGCAGTTTTTGAGCTTTATTGTCTTCCCTGCCCCCTGCAAGCTGAGCTGCACAGGCTAAATAAAATAGCTGCGCGTCGGCGGGGGTCGAGACGCCGTCGCATTGGCCCATCGCGAGAGCTCAGTTAGGCCCGGAGGCGTGACGATGTGTCCAGGGCAGCCATTATCCGCGCTCGCTGCGGTGCCAAACGGCGCGCTAGCTCTGGGGACGACATGGCTCCCACCATGGCGCTGGCAGCAGGGTTGTCCTTGCACAGCTCCTCCGCCAAACGCCGCACGCTGCCTGAATCGAGGGCCGAGCGCAAGCCTTCAGCGCTGGGCGCGCTCTCGTCGCGGGGGGAGGAGGCGCCGGAGGACGCGGAAGTGCAGGAGGAGTAGATTGAGCCCAAGGTGCTCATCAGAGACTGCGAGAGCAAGCGGTCGGCGTCGTCGGACATGGGTCGATGGCGCAGCGCTGGCCGCGGCGACAGCTCCGTCAAGCTGACCCCCGATCCCGGCTCTGCCCCGCCGCCTAGCAAGGCAGCGAGCGTCGCCACGTCCACGCCGCGCGAACCTCCCGCCGAAGAGGAGGGCCCGGCGTCCCCGCTTCGGCCCGCGGCGCCCATTTGAGAGCCGAGAGTCGCCTGCGGCGCGGGGACGCACGAGGAGGGAGCGGCTCGGTGGAAGGGCGTTGAGATACACGGGACAGAGACACGGGACAGAGCGGCTGGCGCCTGGAGGGAGGAGTTCAGCGAGATGGACGCGTCGCAGTAAGCGCCGCAAGTGTCGCACGTTGAGAAGGGCGTGTCGAACGCGGAGGCGGGCTGCGAGAGTTGCGCCTGGAGCGGAGGCGTAGGGTGAGAGGGAGGGAGGGGGGGGGGGGTCGGATCGACGGGGCCGTGGGGGCGCGGCGCACGTCGAGCGACCACGTTGGGCCTTTAGCGACGGCGAGCTTGACGGCGCGCTTGAGGGAAGGCGGCCTTGCGGGTGAGGGAGGATTCGAGCTGGACGGGTTCAGCGTCCCCACGGGACTCGAAGGCGGCCGCGTCACGCTCGGCAGCCGGAGGCCCCGGTCCCAAGCTTGCCCCGCGGCGTCGTGAGCTGCCGGCGGCAGAGGTGACGACCGAGGTGGCGGTGGCGGCGAGGCCGACGCCGACGGCCGACCCGCCGACGCCGCCCTCGCCCTCGCCACCGCTGCCGGCATCGGAGGTCGAACGCCCGCGCGCGCCCGCAAGGAGCTCCGGTTGAGGGATCGATTGAGGGAGGGGAAGGGAGAAGCGAAGGGGGTGGCCCAGACCGACGAGGAGGTTGACCAACGGCCAGACCCTTCGTAGACTGACGACATCCGTTGGCGCCTCCGCTTTCGGCGGATGATGCGGGCGACCACCCACACCATCGTCAGGGCTGCACACCTGTGGGGCGCGCGCAATCACCGCTCATGCACGGGCTGGCGGTGCTCGTGGGGCGGCTCGGGCAAGCGCTCACAGTAGGAAGACGAAAACGGCGACCACGAGACTCACCCTGCGAGGTGAGGGAGGGTGGTCCTCATCGCCTCGGGTGGGACCGAGCAGGTGTCTTGCGGGCGTGTGCACGGCTGTGAGGCGAGCGGCACCTCAACTCGTCGGATCCACCACCCTCCGTCAAGGCCGCTTGCCACCACGGTGGTGATGGCGGGGCGGAAGTAGACGGCGGTAACGCCGGAACGGAGGGCGGAGGCGGCGAGGGCAAGGCGGACGGTGGCGGCGGCGAGGGCGCGGCGGAGGGCGGCGGCGGCGAGGGCGCGGCGGAGGGCGGAGGCGGTGAGGGCGGAGCAGAGGGCGGTGGAGAGGGCGAGGCGGAGGGCGGCGGTGACGGCGAGGCAGACGGTGGTCGTGGGGGGAGAGGTGGCCGGGGCATCTGAGATGCTGCCTAGCCGAAAGGCGGTCACTCACGACACGGAGGTTTCTTTTTCAGTCTTTGGCAAGAGGAGCAGATTGCGAATGAGCTTGCCTGCGGTGAGGGCGGGCGAGTGCACGGAGCTAAGTGCCTCGCCGTCCTCGCAGGAGTCGCTTAGGCGGCTCCCGTGGTGTACCTGTGTTAGTGCCAGTGCGCGCCAGTCCCGTGCCCAGTGTCTCTTCTTCTTCAGAGAGAGATTTTTATTGTTCTTCAGTGTCGTGCGAGGGAGTTTCTCATAAAATTCTTTTTCCTGACATTTGCCCAGTCTGTTCTTCACCTTCCTACCTAACCTAACCTGCCCAGCAGGCCGCTTGAGCACACGCACCTCTACTCGCGCACCAGCCAGGCAGCCAGGTCTGGTGCTGAGTTCATCATATGCACTGTCGTCGACCATGACAACACACCGAAGAGAAGGCCCGCCGCCTAAACATGGGCTGCAAGGCGCGCGGGCAGCCCGGCCCCTTCTCCCACAAGACCGGCCACGGCTACGTCAAGGCGCAGCCACCGCGGTTTCTACCACGACGCGATCTTTGTCAAGCGCAACAACTTCAATCTGCTGCTCCACGAGACGTTCGGCGGCGGCTTCTCGCCCACCGCCGTTCTCAAGCTGCGCCGCCTCGCGCGCAAAGTCGCGCGCGGCAGCGTTGACCGCACGGCCTACTCGCCCAAGTACTCGCTCTCTTTTATGTCCCACCATGCAGAGCGCATCTCTCTCTCTGTTGTGCGAGGCGTGAACCGCGCCATTCGCTCTCACCTGGCAACCCTGTCTGCACGTCTCGCGCGCGCGTGAACAGGGCTCCAGGCCCCAAATGACGTGTGAGTGTTCGAGTTGTTTGGTATTGCTAAAACTCTCTCTCTCTCTCTCCAAAGCGATCTAGCCAGTAGCCTCACACGTGGCGTGCCCTGTCGCCTGTTATGTTGTTCCTGCTGTTGTGTGTGCCCTTGGCACCGTGGGTGCTGGGAGGGGCGACAGGGGCCGGCTACACTTACTCGAGTACTCGGGATGTGTGGCAGCCTAGCTCTGGCAGAGTGTCTTGTGAGCGTGTGTGTGTCTGTGTGTCGCTCAAGCGTGTCGTCGTCTTCTCTGTCTCGCGTCCACCCATCTCGCGTCCACCCAATACCGCGTTGCCGTTTGGTGTGTGCCCCAGTCCCCGAGCCAGACTGTGTTTCGCCTTCACCTATCTTCTATTTGAGAGCCTGTCCCGTGCCCAGTGCGAGAGAGTTTTGAAGTCGAGTTGTTTGTCTCTGTCCTCGGCTGTCGTTATAGATCTAAACACATCCGAGAACACATCCACTCAGGGCGCACCGAACACCCCATTCAGCGCAATCTGCACCAGCGCCTCGGCCATCGGCCCGACGGGCAAATCGTAGTGGCAGGGCGCGAGGCGCGTCGGCGCAAAGTTCGCCTTGGAGGGGAGCGAATCGAGGAAGAGGACGCTCTCATTCTCAGCCGCGGCGCGCGCGAGCGGTCGGAGCGCCGTCGCATTCTCGAAGGCGTGGAAGATGTTGTGCCGCGTGCGCGTTCCCATGTAGACCTGAGGATCGGTGCAGGGCGGAGAAGGCGCGCTGGCCGTGGCGGGGCGCAGAAGTGGGGTGGCTCAGAAGGAGCGGTCGCTCGCCGAGTAGGGCCGTCCCGGCTGACAGGAGGAGGGGCCGAGGGTCAGCTTGAGCGCCGAGCCAAAGTGCTGGTGAAGGCCCGAATACAGGCCGCGCATCCGGAGCGCCACCTACCCGATGGGGGATGGTGTGTGTGGGCGTGCACGAGGCGCAGAGACGCCACTCGCTGTGCATCGCCTCGTCCGCCGCCTGCCACTGCGCGTCGAAGGCGTACATGGCCGCAACGATGACGGTTGGCGGCCCGCGGCCGACGAGCGCCGCCACCTTTGCACACCATGGAGCAAGCGTCAGGCGCACCACGTGGCGGCCCAGGCGTGAGTCGTTTGGCGCGGACCCTCTCCATGATGCGTGCGTGCTGGTGCTTGTAGGCGCCGTTGACGCCGTTGCCCACCGTCCGAATGACGGAGCGCCACACGTAGGATAGTGTGATTGGCTGTTCCCCGGGCGCTTCGTGCACATAAGATTGCATGAGCGCTTCGGCCGGCGGGAAATTCTCCTTGAGAAGCATCGTCATCACGTCGCGTGGGTCGCCGTGCCCCCACCACGCCTTTGCATTTGGGAAGGTCACGTTGTGCAGGTTTGGCTGGCCATATGCGGCGAGGTGACACGGGTGGTTCTTGAGGAACTCACCCCACCCGGCCCAGTCATACCATTTATCTGCCTGCTTGTCCGCGTTCCACGCGCAAGGGTCCCCCGGCTCCCAGCGGTGGCGCATGAAGCCGCTCGCGACTTCGGACGGCGCGGCAGTGCCGTTGACGAGGTAGACGAGCGCCTGCCCGGGGCATTCCCGAGTTGTGAGAGCGAGCCCAGCCAGAATCGTTTGGATCGTGTGCGCGTGTGATCCTCCGTGCTGAAAGCAAGCTTGAGCTGCTGCGCTTCATATCGGGTGCGTGCTAGCTGCTAGACGCGCACAGAGAAGAAGAGGCGCGCTTGGAGGTCGCCCACGACCATCACGTGCTGCCCTCGGAGAGCGGCCCTCGCCTGTGCCGTGCCAAACACTCGCCATGCGCAGGTTTTGTCAGTTTTGCTCACCCATGCTTGCCAGCTGGTGCCGGCTGGCTCCCAATGCCCAGCAGTGCTATGCCGGTCAAGGCAGTGCTGCCTCGAGCCGAGCTCGATTGGCCGCCGCTGGCCGCCTCGGCGGTGGCCGACACGCGCGATCGTGCCTCACCCGTTTGGCCGGTCCGTCCGGCGCACTCGCTTCTCTCGAGGTTCCCGAGGTGGATATCCTTTGGCCGCGTTGGGGGGGAGCGAGGATGGCACGCTTCAAGTTTGGCAAATTCTTTCTTTCAAATGCGCGCCAGTCCCGTCGTCCCGTGCCTAGTGTTGTGAGAGAGCGTTGGGTGGGAAAATTCTTTCTCGTGCCAGTCTTCTGCTGTGAGTGAGAGGAGCTTGTCCACGGTTTTGGTCTGGCTCGGCAAATGGACCGAGCGCCGGCTACCGAAAGAAAGAAAACCGGTCCCAACGAGGGATGGGGGAGGAGGACAGGGTCCCCACCTGAACGAGCAGGATTTTGGAAGCGCCGGCTACATAGGTCTGTGTACTCGCGGCCCTTATTTTTCTTTGGCTCTTTCGCGGACTTCCGAGTCAGTGGAACAGATCCGGTGTGTGGCGCGATGCTCTGCTATCCACAACTCCTGTCAGCCGCAGCCCTTACCCTCCCACCGGCGCCAAAGGTGTTCAAGGCGCTCGATCTGGCAGTCTATGCGGCCGACCGGCAGCGGGACGAGCTCCTCTCTGGTGTCAAGCGCTCCCTGCTCGGCAGCGACCCTCTTGACGCACTTGCCAAGACCGAGTACGCTTTGCCGCCAAAGATCTCGACTGTGGCAGTCACTGGCGCGAACGCCGGGATTGGCCGCGAGGCGGCGCTCTTCTTGGCGCAGGCGGGATTTGGCGTCGTCTTGTGCTCTCGCGACCAGGAGAAGGGAGAGAGCGCTGCAGCAGAGATTCGCACCGTCTCGCCGGAAGCACGTGTTAGTGTTGTGCCGCTCGATCTGGCATCGGTGAGGTCAGTCGAGGCGGCCGCGCCGCTGATTATCTCGGCCGCAAAGGAACTCGGCTCACCGCTGCGCGGACTTATCCTCAACGCGGGCATCTGGCCCGGCTCGCTGCAGACGACCGCCGACGGGATGGAGCTCGCGCTACAGGTGTGCCACATCGGGCACCAGCAGCTCACGCAGCGGCTGCTTCCCGACCTCGCCTCCTCCTCCGGAGGCGCCGAGTCGCGGGTCGTGACGGTCTCATCTTCGGCACATGCGTTCGCAGACGAGGTTGGCACGGACGACCCGCTCTACGCCTCCACGGCCTTTGATACGAACAGGAACTATGGGCGGGCTAAGTTCGCAAACATGCTCTTTGCGCAGGAGCTCGCAAAGCGCGCCCCGCCCGGCGTCCTCTCGACGGCGGCCCACCCCGGCCTGGTGCTCACGACTCTCTTCAAGGAGCTCGGGCCGAGCTACGCCGCCGCCTCTGCCGACTCGCCCACAGGCCGCGCAGCCGTCGACGATCGTCTGGCCGGCATCCCCGCGCTGCGAGCCTTGCAGTCCAGCACGCCCCTCAAGGCGGTGCTCAAGTCGCCGCAGGAGGGGTGCCGCCCGCTCCTCTACGCCCTCCTCGCGCCGGGCCTGCCCGCCGGCGGCTACGTGGCGGACTGCGAGGTGCGCGACATCTCGCCGGCGAGCAAGAGCGCCGCTGCGCGCGAGGAGCTGTGGCAGTGGACCGAGTCGTGGCTCGAGGGGGCGCTCCGCGAGGAGGCTGTTGAGGCGGAGCCGCTGGAGGAGTGCGGCGGCGACGAGGAGTGTGGGCTTCCGTCCGATTGATATAGTACGCAGTGAAACCACCCCCTTTCCAACCGTCTCAGGGACGGACGCATTTGCCCCCTTTCAAAGGCGGTTTCGAAGTTGATGAGACCTCGCCCCCCCCTCTCCAATGAAAGGCGTAAAAAGAGGCGCGGAACAGGCCGGAACCGCCGCTTGCACGTGGGTCACACAATGGCAGCGCTCCAGACGCGCTCTGGTAGCTGCCAATGAAGCTGCAGCCCATCGCGCGCGCGCCGGACGGCCACTGCACCTCCACTGCATTGCCCTCCTGCACCGAGCGACGCGTCAAACCTTTGTTGCTGCCCATGACCGCCGGCGGCTCCGAGCTCGGGCGAGCGAGCCCTGGCTGAGCTGAGCCACTGCGGTCGCAATTGCAGCGCTGCGGTCGGTGCAGAGTGGCCGTGCGCGTACGGCGTCGTACGCGCACGGCCGCTCTGCCTCAGTGGCGTGCGGCTTGGGCCAACTGGAGGTCGCTCTCCGACCTCGCTCGCCGAGCTCACAATCCGGCGCGAGCCGCATCGAGTGGAAGTTCGACTTCAGCTGCCGCGAGTGGATGGACTGCCTTGTCGAGTGCAAGCAGTTGGGCTCCGCCGGGAGCATGTGGTGCAACATGTTCTCTGGGCGCCAGCAGACGCGAGCGCGCGAGCGCGTGTTGAAACGGACGCTCCATAGCAACACTCGAGATACACTCGAAGGGGTACACGTTTTCTTTTCGGGTTTCGTGGGTTATAGTGCACTTGGAAGCGACGAAACCGAAGACGGTTGGCCCCGGGGTGGTTTCACTGCGAAAAGAGACGCGGCATCGCGGCTGAGCCTGGGTCGCGGTGATAGTAGAGTTTCGCAACTAACTACTCGACAGAATCAGAAAGCGCTCTGCCAAGATCTCTCGATATTGACATCAAACACAGAATTCCTAATAAAATAGACTAGAAGGTGTACATGGCGCGCGACGCGCCTCTGAGCATGCTCTGCGCGATGAAGGCGTACACCTGAGGCAAGGCGAGGGCGAGAGTCTGGCATGCTTGCAAACTCTCTCCACACTCCACAGGGCTGCCAGAGTCAGCGTGCGAAACCCGCCCGGGGCAGGGGCCCGCACTCACCTCTCGCCAGGCCGACTCGAGGGCAGGCGTGAACTCTTCGCCGAGGCCTCCGCGCAGCGTGGCGAGGAGGGCAGCACCTGGAGCCGAGAGGGAGGGAGGGGCAGGCGTGTCGGGGGACAGTGCCGGGGCGAGTGGCGAGGCGGGCGAGGGCGAGGCGGGCGAGGCGAGGGCGGCGCGGCGGCGGGTGGAGGACGAGGGTTGGAGGCGGTGGGGCGTCGAGAGGTGGAGCCGGGGAGGCAGGAGAGGCGGGAGGGAGGCGGCGGTGGGAGGAGGCGGCGGTGGCAGCGGCGGTGGAGGCGGCATTGGCGGCGGCGAGGCGAGGCGCAGGCGCAGTGGGTAGGCAGAGGCAGAGGGGTGGGCAGACCCGCGGCCTCGTAGTGGACGTGCAGGACGTTGTAGCCGAGGTGGCTCTCCCCCAGCGCCTCGAGCACGGGCGCCTGGATGGCGGCGGCGGAGGTGGTGGCATGTGATGGGCGGGATGGCGGCGAGGGCGGCGGCGGGGGCGGCGGGGGCGGCGGGGGTGGCGGGGGCGGGGGCGGCGGCGGCGAGGGCGGCGGTGAGATGCGGCCAATGCGGATGTGCTGTGCGCGCCAGCGAGCCGAGGTCGCTCAGGCCGTACACCGCCGCGCTCAGCGTCTACGGGGCAGCGGGGGAGCGACGGTGAGATGGCGGCGATGGCGGCGGCGGTGGCGGGGGCGGTGGCGGTAGTGGTGGCGGGGCGCCTGCATCACGTTGAGCGTGTGAAGCTTGAAGCGCGCTCGGCCAGCCGGGCCGTCGGCGAACTTTTGCGTCGCAAAGAGCTGCTCGGCGGAGGCCGACGTCGCGAAGAGCGCGTCGAAGAAGAGCGCGCCGACAGTCGCCAGACCAAGAGCCTCAGCTTGGGCCCAACTCGCCTGCACGGCCTGGACTGTCCTTGGCGACGGAGCCGGCGGCGGGGCGGCAGCGTCGGTTGCGGAAGACCGACTTCGGGCAGGCTCAGCGACGACACACCGTATGCTGGCCCAGGCACTGCTATCCCGACGGCCAAAAGGCGCTCTGCCGCGTGCGGCACCTGGTCGGCTGCGAATCCAGCGGAAAAATAGGGCGCGCACAGCCACCGCTGCCGCCGCCGATCCGGCGGCGAGAAGAGCAGCCGCTCTCCACGTAGGAAGGCGCATTGGACTCGACGGGCGTTGGCAGCGCCTCGAGCGGCGAGCCCACTGCCCCAGGACCGGTGCTGGGGTGCTGCTCTAGGCGGGGTGCTGCCAGCGCTGAAATGCGGAGACGCGCGTTCTCTCTTTTTCCAATTGTTTTGCATTAGAGAATTGGGATGACGACCTACCTACCTGGGATGACAGGAAGACGCACACACCTCCATTCACACCGCCCAGAACACCGCAGACTTGGGCAAAATGACAAGTGCGCGCGCCGCAGGCGAACAGTCAAGAGAAAATTTTGAGCGGGGCTCCTGTTCACACTCGTGGGCCCTTTCTTGGGGCCGCGCCTGCGGCGCGCCGTGGTTTCTTAGATTTTTGCGGAAATCGCTTGGTAGGGTTTCTTTATGGTAAGGTTTCTTAATGCAGGGTTGCACAATACGAGCGAGACTGAGCTGTATAGTGTATTATACGTATTGTATTGTATTGTTGTATTAATACGTATTGTATTATGGGTAGGGTGCCCACAGGACCCAAAAAAAGAAAGGAAAAAAGAAATGGGCCACCCCCGATCGCAGCACTTCGTGTTGGCGAGTCGAGATATTGAGAGTGTGACTAGGAGGGTGGGACGCTGGGGATTCTCAAAGGTATACCCTTGGAATGGCCGGATCCAGCCTTAAAAGTACGAGATCGCGCGCGCTTCGCGCACAGCACCGCCTGTTCTCCGCGGCTGAGTGACGACGCGTGCCGTGTGCCAGCAGCGAGCCGGTTCTTTACCAGGTTGCAACCCTTGTTCCGCACTGTGCTGTGAATCGAGCGGCAACCAACAGCTCTCAGGACCCCCCGGTGCTGGGGTGCTGCCAGCAACCAACCAACTCACCGGCGAGCGGAGCGAGCCGAAGAGCTGGGGCCAAATTGGCGCTGTGAACGTCGTTTGAACCGATGTTTCGGCGGGCACGTCGCACCTACGTGGCGGGCCGCCGGGCCGGCAGCACTCTCCAAGGTGTTCTATCATTAAACACCCGGAGGTGGACTGCTGACAGGGTATGCGATTTTAGTGTATGTATGTAGCCCTTAATTTTTGCCCCCCCCCCCCCCTTGAGAACGCTGAACGGGGCTAGCAAGTGCGGGACCTGGGGCAGCAACCAACAACGTGGACGGGGATGGGGTGCTGCTCAACCGGCGGCAACCAGCAGCGTTCACAGCCGAGTGCGGAACAAGGGTTGCAACCTGGTAAAGAACCGGCTCGCAGAGTTGGGCGCGCGCGGCGCGACGGCGCCCGCGAGGGAAGGCGCGGGTGCAGCGGCCGCCGGCGGCCGTACCGCCCGCCAGCCGGCGCAGCAGCGGCCAGCGCAGCGGCCGCCGGCGCAGCAGCCAGAGCAGCCGGTGCGCGCCTTGCGAGGCGAGTACTGCCGCCCGGCAGCCTTGAGGCGGCCGGGCGGCAGTACTCGTTCGAACTTTGCGAGCCGTGCGCGCGCCGAGGCGCCCACGGCGCGCGCCCGCCCGGCTGCCAGTAGGAGGCGGCGCAATATGGCCTATAGTACAGCCCTTAGGAGGAGGAAGAGGCTGGCTGGCAGTGCTGTATGCCGCCGAGGGGCAGTTTTGGGGTGCTGACCCACGCCCAGGTGGCTGCAGAACGCGTCCGCAGCCGGGACAACCCGCCCCCCCAGCCGAGGCCGGTCGAAGCCCACTTGGGCACAGCCATGAGGAGTCCTCTTGGACTTGGTGCTCCTGGCGGCCGTTGGAATGGCGAGCGCGCGCCGATGGGGGGGGGGGGGTCTTGCTTGCTCCACACCGAGCGCCATCGGTCCGGACCGGCGTGCCCACCGAGGGGTGGCCTGCACAAGGTCTGAGCCGCGGGTGCTCGGCGCCAAGTGCAGTGTCACGCTCGCACTGGAGCGGGTCACAATGGGAAACCCTCGTTTCCTATGTACTCGGTCCCCCAACGGAAGAGGCCTCGCTCCTATTGGAACTGGCCAACATCAGATTTGCCTCGTGCGTCCCTTTTTGAGCCGGAAAGCTATTTTCTTTTGGGTCCTGCGAGCCGTCTTATTACCAAGTTGCAACACCTGTTCCGCACACTGCTGCGAACGCTGCTGGTTGCCGCCGGTTGAGCAGCACCCCGTCCCCATCCAGGTTGTTGGTTGCTGCCCCAGGTCCCGCACTATGTAGGTGCACGCTTCAGCAGCGTACACCTCGATCCTGTACCGTGTTTGTTTATGACCCCCCCCAATGAACACACCAGTGAGGGAGGGCAGGACGGCGGGCTGAGGCGCAGTAGGAGGAGTTGGAGCTCGCAGCAGCAGGCGGGGCGGACGGCGCCCCGGTCGGAGCCGTCGAGCCGAAGTCTTCGCCGCACGAGACGTAGATGATCTCGTCACTCTCGATCAAGACAACATCTTCGTCTCCATCGTACTCGTCACCGCCCTCCGCAAAGATGCGCAAGGCCGGCGTAGATAAGTTGAGCCTCTTGGCGGCCAGCTCGAGCAACTCCCCCTTGGTGTCGGGTCGCGCGACCTTTTTGCCGACCTCCGAGCCCAGATAGCGCACCGTGATCCTCGTCGGCATCCGCGCGGGGGCGCCCTGCTGCCGGCCCTGGCGGCCGGCCACGTAGGTGCGACGTGCCCGCCGAAACATCGGTTCAAACGACGTTCACAGCGCCAATTCGGCCCCAGCTCTTCGGCTCGCTCCGCTCGCCGGTGAGTTGGTTGGTTGCTGGCAGCACCCCAGCACCGGGGGGTCCTGAGAGCTGTTGGTTGCCGCTCGATTCACAGCACAGTGCGGAACAGGTGTTGCAACCTGGTGGGCACCCTATTATGGGTGGTCGAGGCAGGCGGGGCCGGCGGAGCGAGCGAGGCGGGCGAGTCGGTCGGGTCGACCGGGTCGACCGAGCCCGGCGCCCCCCCGCCCCCCCCGCACGCGGCCTCTGGGCGGTATGCGGCGCTGGCGGACCCGGAGGGTGCAGCATCGGAGGCGATGGAGCTCGACGAGGGCTGCGGCGGTGCGCCAGCCGGCCTCCCACCCGGCGTCCGGCCGACGCTCTCCGGCGCCGGCTCGCCTCTCAAGGCATTCGGCGGGGGCTGCGCATGCTGCCCGGCTAGCGCCGACGCCTCGCCCGCCTGCGACCTCTGCCACGACGACGGCGCCGACATGACGGCCGAGGAGGCTGCAGCGGCTGACCGCGGGCCTGCTGAGGGCGCCGGCGGGGGGGGGGAGGGCGGAGGGGGGGCAAGCGCCGCCGCCACAACAAACGCGGCGGAGCCGGCGGCGGCCGAGGCGGCGCGGGCGGTCTCCGCCAGGTCGGCGACGGAGGCGGCGGCGAGAGCGGCGGAGGCGGCGACGGCCGCAGCGACGGCGACGGCGACGGTGGCAGCGACGGCGGCGGCGGCGGCGGCGGCGGCGGCGGCGGCGGCGGCGGCGGCGGCGGCGGCGGCGGTGGCGGCGGCGGCGTAACAGAATAATACGGACTCTGACATCCGCTGTATAGTGTATTATGGCTAGTGCCATTTCACTGTGGCACAGCTCGCGTTACAAAACCTTGATTTGACCATTTGCGCCATTTTGTCCCTCTCGGTGCCTTCCAGAGGCAGCTGCGACCCCGCCAAGTGGACGGGGGCACTCGGCAGGTGGCGCGGAGTGCCCCCGTCCACTCGGCGGGGAC